GAAGAAAAAGAGTGGATGGAGTGGAGGAGCTCTGGCTGGAACATCCTATTCTGTCCCTGTTTGGGTGAGATTGAGAGTTTCTTTGGAGGTTGTAAGGAGGCTTAAGGGTGATTTAGATAAGTTGATTGAGCAAGCAAACAGATGGCAGATACAGCACAACAAGACTATATGTGAAATTATATACTTCGGAGTGAAAAACAGAAAGAAAGAGTATTATTTAAATTGTATATACTGGTAAGTGTGGAAATCTGGCTATACAAAGGGATCTGGGTGACCTTGCACTCCAGTCATTGAAAGCAGCTGGACAGGAGCAGCTAGCAATTAGGAAAACAAATAGTGTATTGGCATTGGCAAGAAGGTTTGAGTTCAGAAGAAGGGAGGTCTTATTACAGACCTACGGGGCCTGTTGAGGCTTAGGTTTAGCCATGCTACACCTGACACATGAACGTTCAGTGCTGAGACTGGTTGCAAAGATGGTGAAATTTTCCACCCCTTCCCCCCCACAGAACATCTGTCATTCCTAATAAGCACACAACTTGACTATTGCAGTGAGACTTGAGGCTTGTGCTCATTAAGATGAAAGATGTTCGCGTTGAGGATGGAACACCTTTCTACAGTCGTATTACCGTTAGTACAACCCTTCACTTGCACAATGGAGGATGGGATAGCCTCGCCTCCTGAAGTAACAAAGTGCTTTGTGATCTGTAATAAGAGACTGAGTATCTTATATTACCTCTAGACTGGTGCTGTTTGTTTCGGATTCTGAAGAAACAACTCTCTGTGAAATAGCTCTGGTGTGAAATCTTTCTGCGTTATCCCTATCAGTGTCTCAGTTAGAGCTCTTCCGTCAGAGTGAATTTTGACACGGCTGGCTCAGCCACTGAGACGGGACTAGTGATTGCGATTTATTCAGAAACTACAGTACATAGAGTCTGCAAATTCATGACTCAGCAGAGACTCTGAACCCAAACTACAGCAGTCTCCAGACTACGACTGGCTTATTTTTCCAGCTACGTGCAGTGAGTTCACCTCCAGCAGGGCAATCTCCAGGACCAATTGATGGGGTAAATTGATGGGATCAGTCATCTCTATGCTGACTGGGTCTTGCGCTGCCGCAGCTCGAATTTTGTCAGGGGTTGTGGGTGTCAGTCCGGGCAGCGTTCTTCATATAAAAATCCAAGACACTGATATCAATCTACAAGAATCTGAATTTAAAGCGAGCTAATCTAACAGCTCCTCTGAGGAGTGAAAACAAATCTTGTTAATAATTAGTTGGACTCTGTGCATGTGCTTGTAAGCTGTAAGTGTTTCATTCATCAAGTGTAAGATCAGTGTGAAACTGCATTAGTATAAACCAACGAAGAGCTAGTCAGGTTCAGTGTGGTATTACTGCAGCCAATTCCTGCATTTGTTATTCAAGGCTAACTATATGTCTCAAATAAAAACAGAAGTTACTGGAAAAGCTCAGCAGGTCTGGCAGCATCTGTGAGGAAAATATCAGGGTTAAAGTTTCGGGTCCGGTGACCCTCAGAACTGAGGAAATGGCCTCATTCAGTACTAGAGATAGTGGGAACTGCCCATGCTGGAGAATCTGAGATAACAAGGTGACACCACCCACGCCCTCCACCTCCTCCAAAACTTCCGATTCCCTGGTCCCCTACACCTCATCTTTACCATGGACGTCCAGTCCCTGTATACTTGCATTCCCCATGCAGATGGCCTAAAGGCCCTCCGCTTCTTCCTGTCCCGCAGGCCGACCAGTCCCCCTCCACTGACACCCTTATCCACTTAGTTGAACTAGTTGTCACCCTTAACAACTTCTCCTTCAATTCCTCCCACTTCCTACAGACAAAGGGGGTGGCCATGGGTACCCACATGGGCCCAAGCTATGCCTGCCTCTTTGTAGGATATGTGGAACAATCCCTCTTCCAAAGCTACATGGCCCTATCCCCTACCTCTTCCTCCGTTATATCGATGACTGTATCGGCGCCGCCTCGTGCTCCCACGAGGAGCTCGACAGTTCATCCACTTCACTAACACCTTCCACCCCAACCTTAAGTTCACCTGGACCATCTCCGATACCTCTCTCTCCTTCCTGGACCTCTATGTTTCCATCTCTGGCTACCACCTAGAAACTGCCTAGAAATATTAATTTCAAGCCTACCGACTCCCACAGCTACCTAGAATACACCTCCTCTCACCCACCTTCCTGCAAAAAGGCCATCCCTTATTCCCAATGCCTTCGCCTCCACCGCATCTGCTCCCGAGATGAGGCATTCCACTCCCGGACATCCCAGATGTCCTCGTTTTTCAAGGACCGCGACTTCCCTCCACAGTGGTCGAAAACGCCCTCGACCATGTCTCTCGCATTTCCCACAACTCATCCCTCACACCCTCTCCCCGCAACAACAACCAAAACAGAATCCCCCTCATCCTCATGTACCACCCCACCAACCTCCGGATCCAACGCATCATCCTCCGGCACTTCCGCCATCTGCAATCTGATCCCACTACCAAAGACATTTTTCCCTCCCCACCCTTATCTGCCTTCCGGAGTGACCACTCTCTCCGAGACTCCCTTGTTCGCTCCACACTCCCCACCAGCCCCAAGACCCCCAGCACTTTTTCCTGCAACCTGCCCCTACACTTCCCCCCTCACCCCCATCCCAGGCCCCAAGAAAACCTTCCACATCAAGCAGATGTTCACCTGCACATCTGCTAATGTGGTATACTGTATCCGCTGTTCCCGATGTGGCCTCCTCTACATTGGGGAAACCAAGCGGAGGCTTGGAGACACCTTTGTGGAACACCTACATTCGGTTCGCGACAAACGACTGCACCTCCCAGTCACGAACCATTTCAACTCCCCCTCCCATTCCTTGGACAACATGTCCATCCTGGGCCTCCTCCAGTGCCACAACGATGCCACCCGAAGGTTGCAGGAACAGCACCTCATATTTCGCTTGGGAAGCCTGCAGCCCAATGGTATCAATGTGGACTTCACAAGCTTCAAAATCCCCCCTCCCCCGACCGCATCCCAAAACCAGCCCATCTCGTCCCCGCCTTCCTAACCTGACCGTCCTTCCTCCCACCTATCCACTCCTTCCACCTCAAGCCCCACCCTCACTTCCTACCTATCAGCCTCATCCTGCCTCCTTGACCTGTCCGTCCTCCCTGGACTGACCTATCCCCACGCCAACTCACCACCTACACTCACCTTTACTGGCTCCATCCCCGCCTCTTTGACGTCTTTCTCCTCTCCACGTGTCTGCTCCTTTATCCATCTTCCATCCACCTCCCCTCTCTCTCTATTTATTTCAGAATCCCCTTCCCCTCCCCCATTTCTGAAGAAGGGTCCAGACCCGAAACGTCAGCTTTCCTGCTCCTCTGATGCTGCTTGGCCTGCTGTATTCATCCAGCTCTACACCTTGTTATCTCTCATCCAGTACTATATGTTTCTACAATTCCATGAACAGTTGAATGTCCGGTTGTCCCTGAAAGTGAATATACAATTCCTGCAATCTCCAATCAGTGCAGTGCTCAGCTAAAAGGCTATAGTTAGCTTCAGAAAGAAAGAAAAGACTTGAATTTTTATGGGACCTTTCACAGCCTTAGGGTATCGCAAAGGCGGAAGATATCAACAAAGAGAGCCAAAGATGAGTCACATAGGACTTTCTAGAGTGCCGATTAATCATCCTTACAAAAGCAAGGAGAAAGAATTTGTATTCATATAGCACCTCAGGATGACTCACAGCCGACATTGTCATTTTTGTAGAGAGGTCCTTTGTTGTGATGCAAAAAAAGTGTAGAAAATACTATTAATTATTATCTGCACAGCAAGCTTCCACGAATGACTGAGATAATCTTTTAGTGATAATTGTGGCAGATCAGTGACACCAGTAAGAGAAAGAATAACGTACTAAGGGGATTCCTGCCCTTGTTCTCTGACCAATAATCCCAGTCATAACAGTCTGATGCCAGTGTGTTTGAATAGCTCACCCACAGTGCTACCCAACTGCAAAGTGGACAGGATGTTGACAGGTATCTAGCAATAAAAACAAGTCAACATTTTGGGGCAGGGGCAAAGTATTCCTGGCACTCTGTTATAAATTTCCAGCAAAGGCCAAATAGGCTGAACAGCCTCCTTTGCTGTGTGACAATGTGATATAGTAAGGTCGTACAATGCTTGAATAAAAGCAAGATACTGCGTAAAGATAATGCAGATGCTGCCAGACTTGCTAAGCTTTCCCAGCAAATTTATTTTAGTTCTAGATAATGCAGTGTGGAGCTGGAGGAACACAGCAGGGCAGGTAACATTGAAACATAGGCAGAAAATGCTGAAGAAACTCAGCAGGTCTGGCAGTGTCTGTGGATAGAGAGAGAAAGAGTTAACATTTAGAGTCTGATAAGACTTCTTCAAAACCACATCACAGAGACTCGAAAAGTTAACTGACTGTCTCCACACATGCTGCCAGACCTGCTGAGTTTCTCCAGTATTTTTACCTTTATTACAGCATGGTCATTTGATTCAATTTCAGCATTGCTCTGAGTGAGAAAGTCCATCTCCTCGCTGGGGCCCCTTAATTCTTGGTATGTCATGTGTTTTCAGGGATTTGACTTGATTTTGGAACAGAAGTAAATATGTGAGAAAATACTTTCTCACACAGAAGTTCAGATCTGGAACGCAGTGCCTTGAAGTGGGGTGGAGGCAGATTCAATGGAGGCTTCAAGACCGCATTAGCTGAACAGAAGCAATATTCAGGATTACAGGGAATGGTACCAAGTCATGATTCAAACGGGCTGAATGGCTTCACTCTGCACCATACATTTTGGTGATTCTGAGTTGATGGCACGTTGTCAGGACGCAGACAGCTTGTCTCGAACGCCCATTCCATTTTTTTTTTGCTGACCTCATCGAGTCCTATTGCTAGTGTCGCCATGAATCGAGAGGAGGCTGCCTCTCGGCCTCAAATACTGGCCCATGATTGCACAGGGGAGGAGTTTTATGATGTCAGCTAAGAGGAGTTTCTACACACAATGTCAGCTCCCAGTCTCCATCTCACCAGCAGCGTGAAGGCATAGCAGTGAGGAACTGCAGATACACCAGTGAGTACAGGACCGTCTTATTCTGCATGCTAGTGTGCTGGGCTGTTTTGCAACTTAATTCCCTTCTCTTTCAATTCTATTTTTGTTATTTAACCTCTTTTTCTAATCAACTTGTTCAGAGATATTATTACACACCTCTGAAGCAGGTGGGACTTGAACCTGCTTGTCGTTATGCTAGATGTGTATTTGTGATTGCACCAGTTTGATTGGGTCTGATTGTTATGGACTGGTTAAATGATTATTTGTGCTCTTTCAGACCGTCCTGTTCTTCAGATGTAAGTCGACCTAGCTATTATTTATTCGTGATTCTCTGGTGGACGTCCGTAGCACAAATCAAATTTCAGTTTCCAGCCCTTAACCTTCCCCACTCCCCCATCTTCTTCCCCCCACCTCTGCAGCATTTCTGTCCTGGCGCGGGGGGATGGGGTTTGGGGGGATGGTGGTTTGTTGAGCTGGTGGTGCAGTGCGTTGGTGCCGAGGACCGGGACGGGACGGGGTGGCTGTTTGGGCGGGGGCGGTGATGTCTCGGCTGTCACTCAGGATTCGCCTGCATCAGGAGCCGGGGCGGGCGGAGTTATGGACTGCAGAAAAGGAAATGCAGAAAAAAGAGCAAACTGCTCTTTTTTGATTCGCAATCTTAATGAGCCGTTTGTTATGTCTCAGCAAATACCAACCAAGAGACTGAGAATAAACACAACCTGCCGACAGCCCCTGCCGCCCTGCTTCATTCTCTTTACACCTCTCCAGAAGGTGATGATTACATTAGGTTGCGGGTTGCACAGATTCCAGGCTCCATTTGGGCTCCCGGCTGAGCGACCAGTTTCTCACGCCTGAGCATAGAACCGTGGGGACAGTGTTGCGGGGCGGGGGGTAGGTGGGACGGTGTTGGGGGCGGGGGTGAGGTTTGAGCCCTCCCTGAAAAAACACTCAAGCTCACACATGTCACCAGAACTCACTGAATATATATTATCAAACCGACATAACAAACCACTGGAACAGGTGGGCAATGATCCCGGGTTCCCGGTAGCGGGCAATACCACTGCGCCATAAAGAGAACCTAGGACTCATTGGATACCCAGGTACTGGAACCCTGTTAGCTTGGTGCAAGGCGGCAAAACCGCTCTCCGAGCCAAGGTCACGTTTATCTCCCAGACAATGCGAAAAAACCCCAGAAAATTTGCATTTATATCGTGCCTTACACTATACGCCAAAACACTTTGCAGGAAACGCAACTGCCAATTTATACACAGCAAGATTCCAGCGTTATGTTGATGATCAGATCACCTTATTTTCCGATATTGAGAGAGGAAAAAATGACCAGGCCACCAGACAGCTTTCCATTGCTGTTCTTTACCATGGAGCATACCTGGGACCTTTTCTTCCTGAGAGGGCATGCAGGGCTTTGGTTTAATCCAAAAGATGACACCTCATGTATTCCCCGATACTGCACTGGAGTGTAAATCTGGATTAAATGTTCAAGTGGCGGGGTGGGACTTGAACCCACAGCCAGACAACAGCCAGCTAACATAGTCATGGCTGACACTTAAACACAGGACAGAAGTATGAGAGGATCATGGCACAAGCCTTCCTAGACCTGAGATAGTTCACAAGGAACAAACAGCATTGAATATTTCACACTGTTAAACAGAAACAAGAAATATCTACTCGGAGTGGGGGCTGGGGTGCGGAATGCAAAGACACTGTTTTAAAGAAGGGCAGGAATTCTGTTTGGTGTCCTGGCTAATAGTAACACCTTCACTAACTTCAATAACTAATCCAATTGTTTGGAAATCCTCTCCTTGCTGTTTGTGGGAGTTTGTTGTGCACTAAATTGGCTGCTGTGTTTGCTCCATCACAGAGGTGCCCACTTTTCAAAAATATTTAATTGGCTGTAAAGCACTTGAGAAGTCATGAGATGCTTTCAAAATATTACTTGAGTATATATTAAGCCACTTGGGCCCTCGAACCTGCTTCAATGTTCAATAAGATCATGGCTTATCTGATGTTTCCTCATTCCCATCTACTCTCAAGAACCTTTCACTGCTCCCCCTTGCTTATCAACAACCTATCTACCTCTGCCTTAAAAAAAATGAAAGACTCTGTTCCTCAGAAGTTGGTGAAAGCAGAGTCACAAACACTGTGACCTTCTGTGAGAAAATAATTCTCCATATCTCAGTCTTAACTGGGCGATCCCTTGCTTTGAAATGCTGTCTTTCTTGTAGTAGACCTGAGACCAGGTGAATAGACCTCAGCCTCCTTCTGGTCTATATGACTTGCAGGGGGTGGAAGGCAGCTAAGGGGGTTGGTGGAAGCAGAGAATGGTAGATTATAACTGACCATCCACCAATGGAAACAACAGTTATAACCTTGAAATCTGCACATTCCCTTCAGAACCTCCTGTTCTTGTGACCACGCTTCTTTTTGGCTGTCCTATTCAAAACATGATAAAAGTCTTAACATGTTCTGCTCTTTGCTTTTCAGCCCTTCTTCAAAGGTCACTGTCCTGTCGCATTGCCATCATCTAACTGTCTGTAACAGGAATCACCATGGAGAACAACCTGGAAAACAATATGGAACCTAAGTCGGAGCAGGACGAAATGCAACGATGTGCTGACCAGATCACGGATGAGGTGAGTGATGGTCCACAGAGAAGGGAAATAGAGATATCGGAGCCTGCCAAGCTAGACAGGAATCTAATGTTAGCTGAATCAAAATAAAGCAAAGGAACTCTTGTGACCATTATAATTTTCATAATGCAACAAGGAACTAAGGAAATTTAATAGGGACGTAGAAACTACAAAGAGCTGAAAAGAAAGCTAACAGACAAAGAAAGTGTTTGAGAATGGGTTGGCAGTTAATGTTGAACTATGGTGCAGGTATGAATAGAAGAATGAGGTTGATTGCAGACTGAAGGGGCATCCCATGGAAGCAAAAAGCAGTCAATCTGCTACCTTTAGTAGCAAGGAGGACCCTACATAACTAGCAGCAAAGGATATGGGATAACCTAAAAATGGATGAAGGGGAAGAGAATGTGTAGTTCTCAAAGCAGATAAGGATGTGAAATATTCCATAATTCATGGGAAAGTACAGAAGATTGTGGCAGCTCTGCTGCTGTTTGAAAATCCTCCTTCAATATGGGGATGGTTCCAGAAAAAAAGAGACTTGGATTTTTATTGCACCCTCCCCGACCACAGGACATCTTTACAGTCAATTAAGTACTTTTGGAATATGGCCACTGTACTCCTGGAATTGCGGCAGATAGCCTATGCACAGAAAGCTCCCACAAACAACAAGTATGAAAATGACCAGATAATGTATTTTCATGTTAAAATAAAATACTGCAGATGCTGGAGATCTGAAATAAAAAGCAGAAACTGCTGGAAATACTCAGTAGATCAGTATTGGCTAGGAAATTAGGGAGAGTTCCTTTGATCTCCTTCAAAATAATGCCATGGTGCCTTTTACACTCACCTGGGCAGGCATGGACCTTTGCTTAACATGTCATCTGAAGGACAACACTGTTGCCTGCCCGGTACTCCCTCACTACCATGTAGAATGTTAGCCTGCACCTGAGGCCTGGGGGTTGAACACATAGGGCTGGATTTTCCGAAGAGTGGCAATTGCACACCATTTTTATGTTAAGAAAGTGCTCTGTATTTCTGACAGGAGGTTCTGAACAGGGCTCTTTCAGAGGGTACTTTACACTTGCACTTACACAATTCCCTGGTAGTGCAGGATAGTTGGGGGAGGCAAATCATGCCCCATTTGTTAAAGCATCAGTTATCGTTTCGTTGATCACAGCCAACCACCTTGACAGATCTTGTGAAGGATAAGTACACGTCTTAAGTTTTGAGGCTAGGGTAGCTGGGTGCCAGGGTGGGTTGGGGCTAAGGTTCCAGAGTGGATAGGGTGCCAGATAAGTAGGGTGCACAAGGTGGGTCTAGATAAGTAATGGAGTAGTTAGGATAGGCCAAGGTGGGTGACAGATAGTGGGTTCAGCAGGGAGTGGGAGAACTATCATGCCCCATGAGAGAAATGGAGATCTCCTGAAGGGAGAGAAGAGGGGAAGGAGGAGGGGAGATAATGTCAGGTGAAGATCTTGGAGGGGTGTGAGGAGTCTAGGGAAGGTATATTTTGGGATGTGGAATAAGTTGGGGGGGGTTGATTACCCAGGAGTTATACTAGGTCTTATTTATCAGAAAAAAAACAAAACTCTTTATGCTGGAAATCAGAAACAAAACAGAAATTGCTGGAAAAGTTCAGTAGGTCTGGCAGCATCTGTGAAGAGAAAGCTGATTTAATGTTTCGGGTCCAGTGACCCTTTCTGTTATTCAGTGACTTTTCTGTGACTTTTATTGGATAACTACTAACTGCACTGGAACCTCCTGAATCCTCTGATCTAAATGAATACTTTTGAAGGGTACAGGCACAGGGTAATTGCTCAATGTTTAATTTCCTAGCCTTTTCCCTTGGAGTCTGCTACGGTTCGGATTCCGCAGGATCCTGATGTATGACAAAAACAGAAATTGCTGGAGAACTTCAACAAGCCTGGTAGCATCTGTGCAGAAAGAGCAGATTCAATGTTTCTATTCCAAAACTTTGACTCTACTTTCTCTCCACAGGTACTGGCCAGACCTGCTGAGTTTCTCCAGCAATTCCTGTTTCTGTTTCAGATTTCCAGCATCCACAGTTTGTTGGTTTTATCCTAATGTACAACTCCTGTCAACACTGCAGACATGACTATCTGACCATATTCTTGTGACTCAGAGGCAATGAACTGTGTCTCAACTGGCACAGCAAGATAATCAGAGTTTCAAAGGTTGTTCTCCTGTTCAAAAAAGGAGAGAGAGTAAAAAACCCAGCAACCACAAATCAGTCACAAAGTCAAAAAGCATTCTGTGGAGACAAAAATGCCGCCAACTTTTCAGATTGTGACTTGTCATTTGTATTGATCAAATATTTGCAAATAATAATCAAGAATCACATTTGGCATTTGGAGAAATGCAGGCTAATAAATGAAAAGAATCATAGAATCCATACAGTGTAGATGCAGGCTATTGGCCTATCAAGTCCACACTGACCCTCTGAAGAACATCCCACCCAATTCCTGGAACCATGCATTTCCCATGGCTAATCTGCATACCCTAGGCACTATGTGTAATTCAGCATAGCCAATCCGCCTAACCTGCACATCTTTGGACTGTGGGAGGAAACCTGAGTACCCAGAAGAAACCCATGCAGTCACAAGGAGAATGTGCAAACTCCACACAGACAGTTGTCCAAGAGTGGAATTGAACCCAGGACCCTGGCGCTGTGAGGCAGCAGTGCTAAACACTGAGCCATGTGTCACCCCAATAACACTCAAGAAGCTTGACAACACCCAGGACAAAGCAGCCCACTTGATTAGCATCACATTCACAAACATCTGCTCCCTGCACCATCAACATTCAGTAGCAACAGTGTATACTATCTACAAGTGCACTATATTAGCTTGTCTAGCCTTCTTTGACAGCTCCTTGCAAAACCACAATCTCTACCATCTAGAAGGACAAGGGCAGCAGATACATGGCAACACTACCACTGACAGATTCCTCATTGAGCCCCTCACTATCCTGACTTGGAAATACATTGCCATCCCTTCACAATTGCTGAGTCAAAATCCAGGAACTCCCTCCTGAGGGCATTGTGGGTCTATCCATAGTACATGGACTGCTGTGGTTTAAGAAGGCAGCTCACCACCACCTTCTCCAGGGATAACTAGGGTTGGGCTATAAATGCTGAATCAGCCAGCAACACCCATGTCCCACAAGTGAATAGAAAAAAAAAGTTACATATAGACTTGGATATAGAGAATACCATTTCAAAGTTTTCAAGTGGCTCAAAAATCAGAAATAAAACAGTGAGGACAGTGTTAATAGAAAGTAGTCTAAATTCTGAATACAGTCTGTGATTCTGTTATTCTATCTGTAGTATCTAAAATGGTGATCAGTTCAGGACTCATAAATGGACTTCAAGTTCAGCCCTGATCACAAGGGGCCTCAGGTTTAAAACTGGGGACAAAGCAGATTAAGGTTTTCAGCTATCAGGCTATCCACCAGAGGAAAGCTGAGGTGTACATGTCTTCAAATTTGAAAAGGCATTCACTAGGGTAGATGCAGGGATATGCAAAACTAAGCTCACAACTATGATACGGTCACTCATAAGTATAATGAGAAATTCAGCAAAATATCTTTACTCAGTGGAGAGTGAGGATACAAAGCTTGTTACTACAGGATAGGTGCATTAAACATGAACATAATGCATTAAGGGAAGTCAGATAGACACAAGAGAGAAAGGAATCAAAGGATATGCTGCATGGGTGAGATGAGGCTGGTTGGATGATGGTGTGTACGTGTAAAAGATAAAAACGAGCAGAAACGAGTTGGACCCAATGGCTTTTTCCTGTGCTATAAATCTTAAATGGAATTCAATATAAATCAATTACTTAATAAACCTCTGGGTCAGATAGTGGTGATAGACCCTGGAATAATTTACTGACTATTGGATATTTTGATAGTCCGTGTGGTTTGAGGGTGGATAGGTGTAATCAAAGTGGGAATAGTATTCAAACCTGAAAAACATTCCTTCCATCTTTTCTAAGACCTTTTCCACTCTGGCCTTTCCAAGTCTCAACCTAGTTATTTCAGAGACTACAACTGCTGTTGTTCTTTTATGGAACCTGTAGTCTCAATGTTAATATGACCATTCATCAGTCCGGGCATATTGGAGTGAAGGGTATCACTTAACTTCTTGACTATTGCCAGAAAAGCGGCAAATACCCAATAAATTTACTGAGCTTGAAATTATTTCATTGAGTTTTCCCTGCCATGAAATAGAAATGATTTAATGAAATTGAATGATTGAGAACAGTTTTATTATTTATCTAGAGGAAGGTGGTGCTGTGGTGGTAATGTCATGGGACCATTAATCCAGAGGCCTGAGCAATATTCTAGAAACGTGGGTTTAATCCCCTGTGGCATTTGGTGCAATTTTAGTCCAAGTAATGATGAAACTATCACAGTTTAATGTTAAAAAAAATTGGTCACCGATATCCATAGTAAGGGAAGCAGACCTATTATCTGTGTCTGGCCAACATGTGACCCCAGACCCACAGCAAATTAGTTGATTCTTAACTGTTCTCTGAAATGTCCTAAGATTTAGTTCAGGAAGAATTAGGGTTGGGCAACATCTTGTGAAAGAGTAACAAAAATTGGATTCATTGTCTTGCTTTCAACATCTTAGAAGTTGCTGAATTTGTTTTGCTGGGAGGTAAGGAAATTAAGGAAGGCCTGGTATCCAACCAGGACTTGACAGTCAAAGAGGTTGTGTTTATAACACAGTGAACCAGATCGTGGATCAATGTGCAAATGGCAGGCAGTAAAAGCAGGAAAGATTCCTGATCAGTCATGTAAATAGAACATTGGAGCCTCTTCCTATTACTATTCATAGCTCCAGAGTACAATGTGCAGGTAACAATGTCTGTTGTCATGGCAACTTGGATCCTTGAAGGACCAGTTTCCTGGACATTTGGTGTGGATCAGTTCCAGTCGAGGTGGATTCAAGTATTGCCTCCTTGCCCTACCCTCAGACA